TTCTCACCCAGCTGCTTGGCGATGGTCTTGTAGCCCATTCCAGCCTTGTGTTGGTCCACAATCTTGTCCCTGACTTCCTTGGAAAGCTCTTTGGTCTTGGCCATGGTGAAGAGTTTGGAATCTGGATTGATTGATTGCTTCTGTGGACAGGTCTCTTTTATACAGGTAACGAGCTGAGAGGGCTCCCAATGTACATAAAATACACCTGGGAGCCAGAGATCTTGCTGACTGATAGGGGATCAAATACTTATTTCATTCATGAAAATGCAAATTACTTTAACTTTTTTTGTAATGCATTTTTCTGGATTTTTTTTTGTTATTGTTGTGTCTCTCACTGTTCACATAAACCTACCATTGAAATTGTAGACTGATCATTTCTTTGTTAGTGGGTAAACTTACAAAATCAGCTGGGGTTAAATTTTTTTCCTGCACAAAGTATTACAGAACATTTCATAAAGGGGATGCAAACATCTACACTGATACTCTTTTACTGTAACTTTCTTTTTATACCCCACCACCACCACCATTTTTGTTACTTGTGCTGATGAAAGAACATCTGTACTAGCTGACTCTGCATTAAATATTATGTTGATCAGGAAAATTCATATTCTTTTTGCCATTTCAAAGTAAGGGGATGCAAACTTTTACACCCAACTGTAACAGAAAACAGTATAATGCTGGATTAAGTGTTGTCTTCCCCCTCAGTCACCTTTGTCATGCTCTTGTGGACTTTGATGTAACATCATTTTCATATAAACAAATGCTCATATTGTGGTTCTCTATCTCTGAATCCTAAAGTAACACAGTAGTGGTTCAACCCACGGCTCTGGTGTTTCCTTAAGCACCTGCATTCTAGGACGGTGAAAGCCCTCTGGCTTACTGATCAGTTTGTTTTATCTTTCTTTAAGATGAATGTGAAACAATAGGCTGCTGAGCAGACACTGTGTTGAACTTGCTCTCCAACTGACTGTTCATATATAAACAGGTTACAAATCCTCTTTACATGCTATAGCAACATCCTGATGAGCTTTTTCTCCCAGAAGTTTTTTTTCCAGTATATTTGAGACAGTTTCTCTTTCTTTTCACCCCTCCCACTTCGTGTGGTTTGCCCCTCTGCCCTGACGCAGCCTCCGCTGGGCCTCTGTAATTATGTCAGTGTAATGTTTGTATTTATAGGCAGCAGCCACGGTGCTGGCAGTCGCTCTGTTCCAGCTGGGAGGCACTGGTCTGCTGTTGCAGCAGAGCGCTCAGGGCCCTGGTCTGGGTTGGACCAGCTTCTCAGACTGGCTCACCTGTTGCTAAGACCATTACTTCCAGAATTAAAGCTGAAATATTATACTAGCCTCGTGTATTAATTTATTTATACTGCCCCAAAATATAACCAGACATTTTGGTATCTTTGGAATGTAGAATAAAATTCCCCAAATCTCTAAACCAGGGAAGCAGAGGAAAATATTTTTGTTCCAGTCAGGTTTGTTTTCTGATAGGTGTGTGGCTTTGTTCTGCTGTGGTACCTGACCGTTTGGTTTTTAAACCCTTTCTCATAAGCTCCTTTTAGCGGTCGCCTATGTCTGAGAGTTAGTTTAGCTTTAGGTTGGTTTGTAGTCTTGAAAAAGTCAAACTTCAATTTTATTAATATTTCAGAAGAAACAGAAATCAACCAGGACACCAAAATCATGTTCATTTTGTTTAATATGTACAATAAAATAAACTATTCACATTATATAAAAAGGTTCTATTTACAAGACAGAACATTTCTTCAAGACAAACAGAACTTATTGCCAAAAGCTATGTAGCCCTTTGTCGATCAGGTGGCGCTCCTGTGAGAGTTCCTACTGTAAGACCCTGACTTCAAATGCTAGTAGACAGACACAACATTCAGTTCAAGCCTTCGAGGAATACAGAATAAAAGGCAATCTTAGAACAAAATACTGTCTCAGCTTATTTCACGTACTAGTTACACTTCCAGTATAACACAAAGAATAAAACTTTGATTGTCTTTGGCCAGTGAAGAATATGACAGGTGTAATAACGAGTTATAGAAGGCACTAATGGTGAAAATACAAAAAAAAAAAAAAAATCATTGCTCTGCTTCCAGTTACTTCAGTGCCTGACATGGTGAGCGAATCGTTCCTTTAAGTGGTTGTCTATAGAAACAATACTCCATACAAATAAGTAGTACCAGCTACACTGTAATATAACACTGTCTGTCTGAACAGGATTCATCTGTTTCTGTCATATTGGGCTGTATTTGCTCATTGTTTTAGTCAGTTGTTTTTCTATAATTTGAGGAAATTTTGTCTTGATGGCCCTTTTGCCCCAGTTACAAAACAAGACTATAATATTCCTATAACACAACTGGTTTCCTCATATTAAAGGAACTTGCATCTGCATGTTCGCACAGCTCCCTTCTGCAACTGATCACAGGTTTATTATTAGTTCTTTCTATCGGGTCTATGCGATGCACCGAAGTCCTTGTCTGCGACATTTTTGTCCTTCAGATCTTTCCTCACATGTGCCTCTTCATGTGCAAGGCGAGGTGGTCGGACCGGGAGAACGCCCGTTCACACAAGTGACACTGAAAAGGCCGGTGTCCGGTGTGCTTCCGGAAGTGACGCGTAAGCTCGTCGGAGCGAGCGAACTTCCAGCCGCAGCCTTCCCAGCTGCAGTGATATGGTTTCTCTCCTATGAACACAAAAACAAGTGTGAGTGGGGTTATACATCGGAGACAGGTAATGACGGGATTTATAAATAGCTTAAGGCGTAGCTGAGCATCAAAAATGCAGATCTTACCTGTGTGCGTCCGGAGGTGCGCCTTCAGGTGGGAGCTCTTGGTGTAGGTCTTTCCACAGCCGGTGAAAGTGCAGGTGTGTGTCGCAGTCCGTTTCCTCGGCCAGGACCGTCGACCCCTCTTTGGCTTGATGTCCATCATTTCCAGCGGGGAGGACGGTGGAGTGAGCAGAACCCGCTGGCCGGCGGGCCGCTGCGGGTGGCAGGCCCCCGGCCGGGCGAACATGCCAGGAAACTGGTGATGGTGGTGCGCGCTGGCGAATGGGAGCTGCATCCCAGTATGGGGGTGAGAGTATCCCCTGGGCGCGCTGTGGTGGTGGAAGTTCTGCGGGAACGTCAGCGAGGTAGAGTTGCACATCTGGGGCTGGCACTCGGAGCTCATCAGGTCGTCCGGACTGAGCGGCGGCGTCATGCTGCCGACTGCAGCCTGCGGGGAATTAGCCAGTCGCGGCTGCTGCTCGTATGACATCATGCAGGACACATTCCCCTCGTGCTTTATTTTGATGCAGCTCTGAGGCACCAGACCCATGACAGGCCCGTATGTGTCCATGGAGGTAGGCTCCACTTTAATACTCGGATGCTCGGGGAATAAATCCTGTGCTGTCTGAAAAGGTGTGGAGCTGATCAGGAATCTGCCCTGGATGTTGGGGCTGTTATCGGGAAGAAAGCTGGCATCAACATCGGAGCGAAGGAGCTCCGCCATCAGGCTGTTGTAGGGCGGAGGAGGGCAGTTCATGTCTGGGACAGATGAGTAATTGGTCTGTCGCCGGGACACCTCCGTGTGCTGCTGCTGATACAAGGACGCCCCGGAGTCCTGGAGCCGGTAGGGCTCTACCCCTGTGCCGGCGGCCGGCGCACTGTCGGAGCCAGCGGTGTTTGCTAGAATAAACTCCAGATCCAAGAATTTATCCAGGTCTTCTTCGTCTTTTCTGTCTAGGCAGCTGCTGTCCATGTCGGGCGCAACGCTGCTCATACCGCCCTTCCACCTCTGGAGCGAGGATGAGAGAAATGAGTTTGTTTCAGAAGTTGTAGCAAGACTTTTTTTTACAGCCCTTTCAGGTAACTCAGAATAATCCACCTCGATAAACTATCTCGAAAACAGCCCACAGAGTGCAGATGGGGCAACATTTACCACGACACGGTATAAAACATAACAGAACCAATATAATGCCTAGAAACTTAAAATTCTAAAGTGTTAAAATTCAAAGACCAGCAAACGGTGTTCTGTTTAGTGTTCTGATATGACACTAATATCAGCAAAACAAGCGCATGAAGTTAAAAGATCTATCTCAGTGGAAGTATTTAAACACTGAACTTACGTCTTCCCAACATTTCTCCTTTTGGTTGGCAAATGTGGATATTGATGGTAAAATGGTCCCACTCAAGTCCATTTCTATGCGTTATTGCAAAAAAGGGGGAAAATCCTTAAATACTGATAAACACTTTCTCTGTTTAAAGGAAATCCCCAGAGTTCACTGATTCTCCAGAAAACGCTACAGAGCGCGTCGCTTCTTCAGCCGTTCTGCCTCAACTCATGTGCAGCTGTGCGTCTGGAAGGAGCCGCTTTTCTTATAAATATTGTTCGCTGCGCAAATCAGACCAATGCGAGACTGGGGGAAGGAAACGCGTCCAGGATGAGGACGCTGCGCACCGACCAGCCCCCTATATTTAACCTCGGTATAAAAGTACGAGTTTTCGTGCGACTCATAGACAGGGACGTGATCGGAGAGTCAGACTGGTGCGGAATGCTGGTTTTGCTCCGCTGCGGGCTGCTACTTAACCTGCTCAGAGGAGGAAAACCCGCCCCTCCGCCAAACTTGTCTAAAAACTGGCAGCGCGGAGCGAGAGAGACCGCCCCTAGAGCAGCGCCACTAAAAGACACAAAAAGCAATGAACTCGTAGCTGGAAAAAAAGAGAAACGAAATCTACACTACAGGGTTTTATTCAAAGAGGAAGAGAGATGCTGCAGGTGTAAAGCTTAATACACATTTGGGCGCGGTGCGCTCTTACGCACACAAGGAGTGTGGCATTCTTTCCAGCAATTACCATGTTTGAAAACGATCTGCTATATTTATTTGATTGTCTACCATGCAGATGGATATAAAAAAACAAAAATCATCATTTAACCTTGTGCATTGTAGCCTTTAAAGAATAAGATGAATTTAAATATTAGTAGTATTTTCAACAGTCTCTATAGAGAGACTCGAATCAACAATACATTTCCTCTACCACAGTTAATGTCTCTAAGTGTGTCTTCATTGGCAAATGCACAGCCAGTTAGCAGCAGACACCTAGAGAACAGGGTGCGTGTCATATACTATTAAAAGGCTGACAGCATAAGCTTAGACAGACCTGACAGCCATGAGTGATTTGGGGGCTTTACACCATACTTCATCAGAGTGAGTCTGCAGCATATACAGCATGGATGGAGCCCAACTCTCTGCACACATCAGCTGTTTCCAGCAAGAGCACGCTTCCTTTGTAGAGGTTAAAGCATACTGCATATACAGCAAATTATTACAGATCATTAGACACCATATGAATGAATGAATGAAAGAAGAAATGAAACAACAAGAAGATGATGTCCACCCAAATACCGTATGTCTCTGTCTCCATAGGGACTAGTTCTTCAGTAGAACCAGGGAACGCACGACATTTTCAGCTCCGTGAGCATCACAAAGCAGATTCCATTTACCCCATCTTACAAAAAACAGGTGAAAAATACCTATAGACACTGCACACAGTATGATTTGCAATTTTGTTTGACTTACCTAGGTCACTAAAATGTACAGGGCCATCACTGGGGTTGTAGGAACATGCTCTAGAGACAGATATATATATACAGTATATCCAAATCTGCACAATTGTACAGACCAAAACTAACAAAGCAGTATTAACGGGCTTCTTATGGGACAAAAGTAACACCATAGCTGACTCTTGGTTATCTTGGTGGTGATGCCATATCTTTGGAGTCCAGTCTTTTATATCCTTAATGCTCTTTTAAATGCCACGGTTACAGATTAGCACCGCGGTTCAATGTGCGGTAGCAGGATATCACCGTCTCACCAACTGGCCGAAGCAGGTGGAGACATGGCTGCAGTGAAAAGCACTGAACATGGTGACCCAGCCACGTTATACTGAGTGAGTCAAGATGACACTGTGCTTGTGTGTGAGCGAGTATGTTAGCAAAGTGTGTTAGAGTACTTCTGATGTGTGGTAATCGGTATGATTGTTTTACTGAACAAACCAACTGTGAAACTCCTTGTTCTGTGGTTTTCATCTCCAGATTCCTTTTACCCCTCTGTGTGCCATAGTGTCCTGAATCCACAGAGTACTGAGTCATGTACACAGGGTCAGAGACGGTCGGTAACCACAGTGAGTAACACCACTGACAGCTGAGGCCTCAATGTGAGCATCATTCCTAGTGTCACGCTGAATAGAAGATGATACAAATATCACTTTTTGACCCAGTGATACATTCAGCCTTCCTTTCTGGAACAAGCAGCCACAGTCAAATATTGCAATAACAGCTTTTAGTGGGCTGACATCCTTCAGTGATCAGCTTTTACCAGACTGGAGAAACCACAGCCACATGCTCTCAGAAGTCTCCAACACTATGACAAATCTATGTTGCGTCTTATTCAGAGTCAGATTGTAACTGTGTGACCACAGATGTTTTAAGTAATGGATGATCATAATGTCTTGGTTTGGCTGCTTGGGGCTCTTGATTGTATATGAGACCTAATGAACTCCAGCCTTACTACTTTTTTTTGAATGAATATACCATAAAGGATCAAAATGCCATTGCCACACAGCCTAGCACTGTTCATGGAGGCTTCTAGTGCAGCGACAGCTCCATAGAAAGACCTGAAGTCTCAACCTCAGTGTTAGTCTCTGTTCCACTAGCCTCTGTAAACCAGTTCAGTTTCTCAATCTGCAAATTTTTATCCATTGTTATGAAAAACCTGCATGTGTTCCTGGTGTTTCCTTTCCATACTACTTCCATAAGACAATATTACATTCACTACAGTAGCTGCTATAAGAAATTGAAGCTAAAAAAATGTTAAACAATTACTTTGTGAGTAAAAGTCAGTTCATGTCGTTATATCCTATAGGCCATGAAATAATGTCACTGAAACATTTCAAAATAAGTCAGAATCTGAGGATGTTTCATGAAAATATTTTCTGATTTAAACTTCAACTAACTAAGTAACTTAGTTGGGTAGCTTTTTAAAACGATTCCTTTTGTGATATAAGGTCTGTGGAGTGTTTAGATTTTATTTGACCTTCAATTGTATATAGATTTTTGTTAGTTTGACTTTAAAATGTATTTATTCAATTCATTATGCATTTTTTGCATGGCTCTGACTAACTGGACCAGCTGTGTGCTCCTACATACTTAGCTGGTGGTGACCCAGGATGAATATTGTAAAAACACCCTAACTTCCCTTTAAAGGTTCAGACACCCTGTATTTTGCATTCTCACCCAGACTTGATGCACAGAAATGATACTGATATATCAATATGCTTCAGCGGTTGTTCACTAGATGAAGAACAGCAGCTCTGGCTCTGAGTTGAATGTTCTTCTTCGTCTTCTGTTTCCTCTGCTGTGTCAGGTCTCCAGTATTCCATCTTGTTGTTGTTGTCGTCGTCGTCCTTCTTCGTCTTCTGTGTGCTGGGAGTCAGCTGTATTGATGCTGATAGTTCTAGGTCTATAATTGAATACACAGTGAACCCTCTCTTCCCACGCGGCAGGACAGCACTGTTTATTCTACCACTCCAGTTACTTTTTCACACCATGTTAAGGCCAGTGGTAGAAGACCTACTGTGATCATTACTTAAGTAAAAAATTCCACTGGCTAAAATATTCTGTTAGAGGAAGCAGGCACTTTACTCCAAATGTATTCATTATTAGCATCAAAATACATGTAAAGTGCTAAAGTACTCTTTAGCAGAATGGCACATTTCACATTAATGTATCTTCCTGTTGTGTTCATCGCTTTAGTGTTTAATAACTCCCTTATAAACTTAGAATCTGAAGTACTTGACATATTGCTGGGTAGCTTTTCCACCCGGGATCAATAAAATCCAATGATTATATTATATTTGTGTTATAATTCTGAAAAGTAACTCGTTATAGATTAGTATAGTTTAGAACAAAGTATAATATTTTTCTTTTAAAAAATATTATACTTAAAAAATGATAAAAATGAAGCACAAAGTTACTGAAAATGGAAGTACTCCAGTAAAGTACAAATACCACAAAAGTGTAGTTTAGCACCATACTTGATTAAATGAACATACAGTGGTGTGAAAAAGTGTTTGCCCCCTTACTGATTTCTTATCTTTTTGCATGTTTGTCACACTGTAATGTTTCAGATCGTCAAACAAATTTATATATTAGTCAAAGATAACACAAGTAAACACATCATGCAGTTTTTAAATGAAGGTTTTTATTATTAAGGGAAAACAAAATCCAAAACTATATAGCCCTGTGTGAACAAGTGTTTGCCCCCCTGTCAAAACACTGGTTTATCGCACCTGAGTTCAATTTCTATAGCCACACCCAGGCCTGATTACTGCCACACCTGTTCGCAATCAAGAAATCACTTAAATAGGACCTGCCTGACAAAGTGAAGTAGACCAAAAGATCATCAAAAGCTAGACATCATGCCGAGATCCAAAGAAATTCAAAAACAAATGAGAAAGAGAATAATGAAGCTCTATCAGTCCGGAAAAGGTTATAAAGCCATTTCTAAAGCTTTGGGACGGCAGCGAACCACAGTGAGAGCCATTATCCACAAATGGCGAAAACATGGAACAGTGGAGAACCTTCCCAGGAGTGGCCGGCCGACCAAAATTACCCCAAGAGCGCAGCGACAACTCATCCAAGAGGTCACAAAAGACCCCACAACAACATCCAAAGAACTGCAGGCCTCACTTGCCTCAGTTAAGGTGAGTGTTCATGACTCCACCATAAGAAAGAGACTGGGCAAAAATGGTTTGCATGGCAGAGTTCCAAGACGAAAACCACTGCTGAGCAAAAAGAACATAAAGGCTCGTCTCAGTTTTGCCAGAAAACATCTTGATGATCCCCAAGACTTTTGGGATAATACTCTGTGGACAGACGAGACAAAAGTTGAACTTTTTGGAAGGTGTGTGTCCCATTATGTGTGGCGTAAAAGTAACACCGCATTTCAGAAAAAGAACATCATACCAACAGTAAAATATGGTGGTGGTAGTGTGATGGTCTGGGGCTGTTTTGCTGCTTCAGGCCCTGGAAGACTTGCTGTGATAAATGGAACCATGAATTCTGCTGTGTACCAAAATATCCTGAAGGAGAATGTCCGGCCATCCGTTTGTGACCTCAAGCTGAAGCGAACTTGGGTTCTGCAGCAGGACAATGATCCAAAGCACACCAGCAAGTCCACTTCTGAATGGCTGAAGAAAAACAAAATGAAGACTTTGGAGTGGCCTAGTCAAAGTCCTGACCTGAATCCAATTGAGATGCTGTGGCATGACCTTAAAAAGGCAGTTCATGCCCGAAAACCCTCCAATGTGGCTGACTTACAACAATTCTGCAAAGATGAGTGGGCCAAAATTCCTCCACAGCGCTGTAAAAGACTCATGGCAAGTTATCGAAAACGCTTGATTGCAGTTGTTGCTGCTAAGGGTGGCCCAACCAGTTATTAGGTTTAGGGGGCAAACACTTATTCACACAGGGCTTTGTAGTTT